TTTTTTTTTTTTTTTTTTGCAGATGTGTCACGATTTTCATGTTTTCACTTTGGTGACCAACGCAACATAATCACCGTCTTTCCTGATTCAGTCGCTGTAAACCTTTTTATTTGATCTTCCAAACACATTTTCAACTCCGACATAACTCAGTGAATTCTAAAAGAAACTCCTTTGACCAATTAGCCACGATTTAAAGCTGAGAAATTTAAAACAGTGACAGCTGTGACAAGAAAAATACTGAGTAAAATTTGCAGCAACAGAACAAAAGTAAAGAATACTCCCCTCTTCACTGTTGCTCCCACTTTTGATCATAGGGGATCCGTGAAACACCTTGTTTCACTTAAGTTTCATAATCTACGGTGTGACAATTAAGTTCCCGAACTGAGGTCATAAAAACCACACAAAAGGATACAGAATATTTATTAATGCCATTACTCAGTATAATCCCCGCGCCCGCTTCAGCACAAATTTTACATCGCTCATACAACGAACCGAATGCCCGAGAAAACGTTTCTTTCCGTCTCGCCTTCAGTTCCCTGGCCACAGTCTGCTGAATCGATCAAACAGCATCGAATCCCATCCCTTTCATCACCGTTTTTAATTTTGGAAATAAAAAAGTTCGCCAGCGATAAATCAAGGGGACCCCTCGTTTCGCCAAACACTTGGAGAAAACTGCTGAAGAATGCACCGGTGCACTGTCGTGCAGAAGTTACCAGGACCCACTTCCTGAAACTCAGGCCTAACGCGTTGAAATCGAGCGATCAATCAATCTCTTAATCGCCTCTATAAAATTCGCCGGTTGCAGTCTGTTCTTCCGGCACGGCTTCGTGATCAATGATATCTTTAGCACCAAAAATGCAGTCAACATTGTTTTCACCAGCGATTTTTGCATTCTTACTTTCTGGCGTACTATTGGACATTTTGTGGCATTCGAAAACATTTGTTCTTGATAAATATTCTTCACCGTAAGCACCTGTCAACATTTCAAACGTTTCAGTAGCCGTTTTTTTTTTTAATTTTACACAAAATTGAATATTTCTTTGTTTCATTTTGAAACATTATGGCCCTGGGGTCGACTAAGCCTCTAACAGAAATGAGTACCAGGAATCTTCCTGAGAGTAAAGGACGGCCGGCTGGCGCGTAAGGCTGACAACATCACCGCCATCTGTGAGCCGTCTAGAAAATGTTGAAGCCTCGACGTCTCAAAACCTTATGGGCCTCCACAGCCTGTTGCAGAGAGAGCTTTACATTATCAATGGATCATATTTTGAACCAGTTCAAACCTGTCTAAACCCCATATTCAATTTCTTTAAGATACATTTTAATATTATCGTCCCCTCCACGCCTATGTCCCTCCACAGGTTTCTCCGAAATCTATCACACTACACGGCGTAATGTTCGACAAGATACGGAAACATGCAATCATCCAGACAAGATTTGAATCTGATGCACCACAAACGCACCATTGAACTAAACTGCTGAAGGGTTCTGACGATGTATTACAGTCAGAATTAGTAAGGTTTCGGACTTCGTCCATCGTCCGAAAACCCAGTCTAGTTTCTAGAATACCAGACGACGGACAATGTCCAAAACCCCAGTTTAGTCTCTAGAACACCGGACGATGGATGAAGTCCAAAAACACATTCTAATTTCTAGAATACCAGACGATGGACAAAGTCCAAAAACCCAGTAATTCTGTGGGGAATTTGTTCCAGAACTGGGAATTTCAGATCTACCTGAACAATCGGTCCAACAGCTTCGTGCGCGACGGGACGCTGTTCATCAGGCCAACACTGACTGCAGACAAGTATGGAGAGAGATTCCTCACGTCAGGCACACTGAAACTTTACGGCGGGGCTCCTGCTGACGAGTAAGTACAAACAATCAATTCAATGTAAGATGATCCTCAGGGGGCCAAAGTCTATGAGAAAAGTAGATGACCTTAAGTAACCGACTCCCATTAACTGCCTGCTTATAACAACTCGGAACGAACCGCACAGAGAACACCGTTCCTCTGTTTTTGTTTTCAAGTGTTACCGTGCAAACATGCGTGTCTGCGAAGCCGTTATTCAATAGCGGTTCTTGTAGAGCTGTTTCTTTCGCGGTCGTTGCGTAGCAACGGATCTACATGCCACAATATAGTCTCTGGTCACCTTATATTAATAATGTGCTGCTGCCGGTAGGTCAGACTATGCAGGATGTCACAAGAGGAAAAGTTAATATTCTGTAAGGCCACAGTATCAGTCAGTCTAACAAAAGAAGTGTATCTGTACTTGTACATGCAGAGATATTTCACCGTACAGCTAGAAAATTGTTGATAAAAGAGAGATATTACATATTGTTTCTAATACCGGTACTTATGGCTCAAGTGATAAAGTTAGTACAGTTTACCCAGTATAACACATTTTCGAAAATTCCACCGTCAACATCAATGCACTCTGCAAATCGCGTGAGTTCGGCATATCAGCATATCCGGCATTTATGAGGATGTGCACCATTTTTCACAGCACTCCTACGGTCTCACTATCAAAGTCACAACGGCCAACTGACGCTTCACACCGATTCACATGGGGGATGCAAGGACAATATTGGGGGCCAAATCCAAATTACTGTACAGTGAAATAGCTGTATCTCGGAAACCGTTCGGTACAGGACACATACTCGTATGTACACAGTTTATTGCTTACTAGAGTGGCCGGTACTACGATCTCCCAGAATACCGACCTTTCCTGCTGGGACATTCTGTATATCGCGGAATGATAAGATTGAATGGAGAAGATTCGAGAACGAGGAAGGAAGGGAAATTGGACTAATTTGAGGTCATAAGCGAACATAAGCGGTGTCCCAGTCAAGGTTCGAATCGGGATTCTCCAGAACACGAGACATAAACCTTACCGCTACAGCCAAAGTGATCGGTTAAAACTATATTGAACACTGAGCAGTCAGGTGCTTGAAGTGAAGGCGCGTGTCCATATTGGACGGCCAGCCCCAGGAATACGTGACCAGGGTGCAGACTGTTTTCACTGCACCAGTATACTCAATAACCGCGTGTTTATTCAGGTGCACAAACCCAATGGACTGGGGTTGTGAGAGAAGAGGAACGAATGCAAATGTTTTGAACCCAATCACATCTGCAAGAATTCGCACTGTTGACTCCTTCAGCTTCTGTTATGGAAAAGTGGAGGTGCGGGCAAAACTGCCGGCTGGGGATTGGCTTTGGCCAGGTGAGTAGTGAGTGACTCGTGACCTTCCCAGCGTCATGAAATAAACAAGAACACAAATTTGGAAATTCAAATGCAGGGGAAAGTTCCCCTTCCCCAAAATTTTGATCTGACTATGTAGTTCAAATAGAATTCCAACAGATGTCACATGTTGTTTAGATATAGTAAAATGTTGTGAAGGTCGAAAATTTCGACGCTGGGTAATTGTGCTTATAGTGATTAAAATTCTTCGCAGTTACGAATGGAGAACGACAGATGGCCTAACAGCGTGAAAGAAGAGACTTCATGATCAGAATTATGCCCTGATGACTCAGAATTATTGGGGTTTTGTACTCTGCCCAACGTCCGGTATTCTAAAAGCTAGATAACACAAGGTTTCGGAAACTAGATCTGTTTCCGTCCTCAGGTGAAGGAGAGACACCTACTCGGTTGGGTCCCTTAGAAAGGGCTAATTTCAATCACCGGCCAAACCATGTCAGTACAAGTACAACTGTAATAAACGCCTGAGACCAGGTTTTTTCAATGGGAGATAACAAGAAAATATGCAATAGAAATTGTGATAAATCGTGCACAGTTCTAAATCAAAGATACGAGGGACAGTCAACAAATAGGTCAAAAACAGAAGAAAAACATTTGTAATGGACGTAATAGGTTTCCTATGTGTATCACTAGGTAGCAGCACAGTCCAGCTTCATGACAATCTAGGTAGTAGACGCGCATGCGCATGTTCAGAAACTGGTTTCAGTCGTCAAAATGACGACAGGGTTTGAGGAGTATACTACCGCAGAGCAGGACTCAATGCAAAGGATATTAATACATATACATTCATTTTTTCCCTTATGGTTCACAAATGGTAGAGGAATTCTCTGACGGACGTCCGAAAGTCGCAAATGATACCTGACCAGGTGCGGAAGTGGCTGAGACAACGGTAAAAAAAAACTTCTATGCTGCGGGGTTTGACGCACTGATAACGTGATGGGACAAGTGTACTCTATCAATGTTAGCGGACAATATGTCGAGAAGTATTTTTTTTTAGTTTCGAATATCACATGTTTTACGTCTTATATCCATTTTTCACCTATTTGTTGTTGTTGTAATTGGAGGGGGTGGGTTTCCCCATGCACTTAGTCCAGGTATTGGTCCATTGTGCGTCCCCCTTTTTTGATATTCTACCAGTCTCTATACCCTACCGGTACTGGTGCGTGCCATCAGTCCCGACTCAGCCAGCGAGTTCGGCCTCTACTGGCTCAGCGGTATCTCGATGCTTCCCCCATCTGCCAGAGGCGTTAGAGACTACTGTTGGGCGGGAAATGTCCTAAATTTGGCTCAGAGGTCTCCTTGATACATGAGGTTCTTCTACGTGCCGTAAAGCTACGACACGGGACCCACGGTTTAAAGTCCCTCCCGGAGGACTTGTTCCCTGATTTTTTCCGCCCTTAAAAATTCCACGACCTCCGCCGGGTTTGAACCCGCGTCATGAGGTGGGAATGTTATCCCTAGACTACGGAGGTCACTTTTGACCTATTTACTAACTGTCCTTCGTAGAAAGGGAGGTGGAAATTTGATGACAGGAACGTAACCAACAAACGAAGTATATGAAAACTAATGCATAGGATGCAGTCCAAAGACCCAGGAAATTCTGAGTGTTATACCGTCGTCAGAACCGTTTAGAATCTATGGTTTGAATGCTTTCAGCTATATGGATGCTCCCCCACTACAACGAGTATGGATCTTGGCCGGCTTCAGGAGAGATAGATCTCTGTGAGAGTCGAGGTAACAGAAACTTGACCGTCAACGGTCTGAACATCGGCACTGAACTCACTTCGTCCACACTGCATTTCGGCCCTTACTGGTCTTTAGACCGGTGGGAGAAGGCCCATTTTGAAAGACGGTCGGAGCCGGAGCAGGGTTTCGATCAAGATTTCCACAGGTTTCAGATTGAATGGACGAAAGGTAACTGTTCAATATTGTAAATATCTATCCCTGTAACAGGCCGTGGAGGCCCATGAGGTTATGAGACGTCGAGGCTCCAGTATTTTCTAGACAGTCAGCTAACAGATGGCGGCGAGGTTGTCAGCGCCGGCCGCCCTTTACCCAGGAAGATTCCTGGTACTCATTTCTGTTAGAGGCTGAGTCGACTCCAGGGCCATAGTGCGGCGGAAGGATTAGGTCAATTGAAAAGTCCAGTGACCTCATATAAAATCGAAACCGCATGCAGCATAGTGCCAATTCTGCTAAACGAAATGATTTTACAAGTTTATATGCATGAAAACTAAAGTTATTTTGAGTTGGGGAAGTAAATAGATTCGGCTTGTCTCTCCAAAGGCAGACCACATGCCAGTTAAAAACCTAAGAGTAAATTAAGTGGCATTTTGTTGACAAAAACAACAATTTTGTTCATATTAGTGTTGGTGGAAACAAAACCGTCAAGTGTCACAGCTGTTACCTCTGAAGAAGTGTCACATGGTGACAAGAGAGCTTACAGGTACTCTTCATTCTCCTGAGTGTTGATGCCACTCACGCCAGAGTCAAGATGTCGCGTGGACGTGCCCTGACCCGTGTAGTGGGAAGAGCGCCTTACATAATATTCCGAGAAGTTCTTTCCGGGTTACTGGATTATAAAAATTGATCAACGGTTTATGACATATAGTGAAACTTCTCTAAAAAGATTACCCCCATTTAAATAAGCACATTTATGTGGTACGGACTGTGTTTTATGCCATTTTAGCGCAGTGCAACCCCCCATTCAGTGATGAACCCTAATGCCGACTAGTGACCATATCTGGTCTTTACAAAACCCCTCTAAAAAGTCCATCTCACAATGAGAATTTCCATTCCCATGTAATGTAGGAACCCCTATCATTATATACGTACTGTCACGTGACTGAGTGACTACAGACGTGAATTGCATTGGTAATCGGATTTATTGAACACTTACAGATCGTAACTACAAGTAACTAAATCAATCTCACTGAGTCACACACTTCAATGATCACTATAACGATAGCACACATAAAGTATTCCCAGTCTTCACTAGCCGTTGCTTGGTAGCGGCTTTCAACGGCGGACGTTCCTTTTCCTCTTTGTTCCCGAATTGTCCCGGGGTCTCGGCTAGCAGCTTCTCACAGCAACAGCTCTCAGCGACTGAGCATGAGTCTTACGTTACGATCGACGGTCAGTCGGCCAGTCTGTCTTGGAATAAAGCACCCACCTGGGGCTTATGACCAGATTTTTATTGCTGTCAGACAGTAGAGGGTTTGTTGATGTAGGGCGCTCTCTCTGACGGGAGGACGGGACTGTCGTTTACAGTTACTGCTGACCCTCACCAGCGCAGTCATTCTCGGGTCCGAGTCTCGTGGGACTAGCGACCATATTTTACTGTCTCAGTTTCGAGACTTCCCTTTCCGTCGCCTCCTACGACTCGCAGGGTCACGGTGGAGGTATTCGACCCCGCCTCCACACGGGAGTTTCTTTTGTCGTGGAAGCATGCTTGTTGGTAGAGCCGTTACTTAGCAACAGCTGTTGTATACTTGCTTATTTCGCGGTTATCGTCTAGTAACGGGTCTACATGCCACAGTATGTTACAATCTAGTGGCATTTGATGTCGTAGGTGGTACTACTTGCGAACAGACTCAGAAGATGGCAGTATTTAACGGTACTTGAATGTAGGCTTGAGTGGTCGATACTGCAACCAGCTTAGAAGGAGATAAATTTGGATTAAAAATGATGCAACTTGTGTTCCAAGTCACTCGAACTTCACAATTGATTGTAGCCTCCAACTGAGCAACTGCAATTTATAATTTTCAGATTATTTGCAATTCGCTGTTGATGGTGAGGAGATTGGTAAGATAACCCCACCGGAGGGAGGATTTTGGGAACTTGGAATGTTCAATTCAACCATTGGGACCGCTGATAATCCATGGATATATGGAAGCAAGATGGCGCCGTTTGACAAAGAGGTAAGTTGAATAAAATTGGTAAATAGAATGATCCTGTGTTACATGGTGCTGATGAAATTAATGGTAACTTCGGGTTAATGGTTTACTTTGATGGCGCTGTCGGTGTCTTCACCACAGCAGAAAACTGTAAGGTGATTGGTGAACTGGAAAGGTACCCGAAGTGGTCGTGGCCTACTCGAGGTATAATCCCGCCATTTATAAACATACAGTTGTGAATCCTTTTCCAGCTGTCAGGTAAACGCCGTATATATCAGCACTGACAATGGTGACACACTCGCGAATCACAGTTTTGGATGTATAGGTGAGCTGTGAGCCGGGATAGCTCAGTCGGCATAGCAAGTGGCTACGGCCTGGACGACCGAGGGGTCAGAGTTCAAATCCCCGTAGGGTCAAGAATTTTCACTTCTCCATGTCGTCCAGACGGACCCTGGGGCCAATTCAGCTTCTTATCCAATAGGTACCGGTGATCCCTTTCCCCTGGGGTAAAGCGGCTGGGACGTGAAGCTGACCGATAACCCTCAACTAGTGCCGAAATTAAGAAAACGTGGATCTACACATCCACTCCCATATGCGCCTTTATGGCGTAGAGTTTAAGCACTTAAACACAGGGATAACTTTACTTTAGTCGAGCGGTGAATCCACCCGCTTCCCTATCCTTGCGCAGATGACACTAACACACGCTGTAGCGCATAAGCAAAGCGATGCATACAGCTAATTCCAAGCAAAACTTAAAGATATTTTATTGCACTGATGGAACACTTATTTCATATCTTCGTTCGGTTTTAGTGGTGTTCGCGGCGAACGCCTGATCATACCGGAGCTCTTCCCCACTAACCAACTGACTTCAGCACAGCTTCCTTGAGTTTGCAACAAATGTTTTAATAATGTCATGCGTTCATGGCTGCGTGACGAATAATAACGGGTTTTGGATTTATTAACACCTTCGCTCACAATCACTCTTAATCACGCTCAATTACAACAGCTCACAATCAGTGACTGCCTAAGACTCGCTCCATTCTGACTGGACTACGAGTGTCTTCTCTTCTACTGTGCTGGTTCGTATATAGTCACTTTGCGAATGCCTTCTGATTTACGAATGCTCTAGTTACTGTCTGCATGGCCGCGTGTATAGCGTAGCAGTATCCCAGCTCCTATTCATGGAAACGTCTGTTGGTTCTATAGCAACCAGATGGTTTCCAAGAGCCTACAACTTTGATTCTCTTATCCATGGACACGGTTGTTTAAAACCTTGCGATGGTTTGTGTCAAAGAATTGTATCTCCGTGGAAACGTGTTTCCCAATTCGTTTCCTAGAAACAGTCTACATGTCGCAAAAACTTAACGGAAAATATTGGTTTTGTAAAGACAAAGAAGAACTGCTTGTGTTTATTATAAAGCAAAATCTCGCGAAGAAGTATGGGGGAGTGGAGGTATAGCTCCATCATTCTTTTCCTCGGCACTAGATGGAGGTGAGTTGCCAGTTTTCGCACCTGTGGCTTAATTTCTGGAGGAACTGCTTCCGGTACCAGTCTTATAGGGGGCTGCGTAGACCCCAGGGCTGATCTGTAAGTTGTGGAAAGGAGAACAATTTCTTACTCATATCGGGAATCGAACCTCGAATCCTCTTTCATCCTACCCACAGCTTAGTCGCTATACCTACTGAGCTAACTCACAGAAAATAAAAACAAAACACTGTTGAACCCCGCGGGCACTTATGACTCTGAAATATGGCTCATGACGCAGAAGAATGAAGTTTTATTAAATACGCGGAAAGAACAGTTCTGAGGCGAGTGCAAAACTGTTTGAGCAAGGGGTTCGGGGAACCAAGTAACCGAGAATTGTGGGCAATATACACAGCAGATGCTGGAAGGGGAAGTCTGCAGTGTAGGGGGCATGCGAGCAGAATCTCGTATCAAACATGAGCGGCTAAGCAAACCGAGAGTTGTGGGCAATATACACAGCAGATGCTGGAAGGGGAAGTCTGCAGTGTGGGGGGCATGCGAGCAGAATCTCGTATCAAACATGAGCGGCTAAGCAAATCCTTGGAAGTTAGCAGGAAGATAAAGTAAAAATGTGAAGACCCTGACTGAAAGGGCTGCGAGGATCAAAGAACGATCCGGGGGGGAGGAGTTTACCTGTAGAGCGAGATTATATAACATTATAATTTTGCCCGCAGTATGTGACGTTTTGGCTCAGAACTCAGTATACAAAACTGTGAAGGAGGGGCACATGTTTGTGTCCAGTTTTGGAATTATCATATCATAACAAATGAAACAGATAGTTTTCTCATGTTACCATAGCGACCTTGTTGACTTGTACATTCAATAAAAATGTTTTGCTATCTGCTCTCTTCAGTTCTACTTTGTAATCAACTTGGCCGCGGGTGGAGTCAACGGATACTTTCCAGACAATGCAGAGAATCCCGGAAGAAAACCATGGAGCAACAATTCAACTCGGGTAAGAGAAAAACGTTTCTTACAGCCTGCATTATGTTGTCTGTTAACACCGAACACATTTATATTACATATTGTAATAAATGATAAAAATTTTAAAATAATGCCATTGTTTTGTGATTTCACAATCAAGTATTTTTTTAAACGTGAGTACAAAACGGGAGCACACTAACACAATGAGCATGCTGAATGTACTGCAATCTAATGATGACCAACAAGGTCGAAATATTTCTCTTTTTTTTTATATTGCTAGTGGGGTGGGACTAAGTCCCTTCTACTTCGGCCACTTCTGGCCTATTGTACCAGCCCAAAATGATAGGTGAGGGTGATTGTGGAGCAATTGGTGGAATGAAGATTGGCAGGGGAAACCGAAGTACTCGGAGAAAACCTGCCCCAGCGCCACTTTGTCCACCACAAATCCCACTTGACCAGACCCGGGATTGAACCAGGGCAGCCGCGGTGGGAAGCCACTGACTAACCGCTTGCGCTATAGCGCGGGCCTAAATATTTATCTAAATTACGGTAATAATTAATATTAATTGTAGACGCTGTGTTGACGGTACACACAGAATTTGCCAATTGAATGGCCAAAAGGAAAGGTTCAAGTTTGTTCGATACTGTAATTTTTACAAGGGACCCCACCCAGCACTAACTACGAACTATGCGAGTAGACGTTCTACACATATTGTGGCATATAGGCTCGTTGCTCGGTAACGACCGCGAAAGAAGCAAATATACAACGCCGCTAGTAATCAGCGGCCCGTATACATCAAAAGCTGACGATGGTCAAGTTGACCGAAACATGGAGTGTATTTTAATACATAAGAATCCTTTAAACTTGTAAAAGTGATAAGTTTTGTGGAACGCAAATCAACAGAAGAATGGTGTTTTCTGTGCGATCCGTGCTATGTTATTAGCAGGACAAGTTAGGAGTCGGTTGGTAAGTCAGATAAACGCTGATGTTAAGTTATTGTGCGCTGTTGCTGTGAGAAGCTGGTAGTTGAGGCAGGAGACAGTTCGGAAACCCAGAGACCCAGAGGACGGAGAACGTCCGCCGTTGCAAGCCGCTACTAAGTAAAGGCGGTGAGGACGTGACTCTAGATACTGTGTGTGTAATATTGAACTGTGAAGTGTAGTCACGTGTTGTATCAGAGTCCAATAAATCCGCTCATCAATTAAAACACATCTATAGTCACACTCCATAAAATCGTGACAATATATGACATTCACATATCCCATTTCATTTTAGGCCTCAACTGAGTTTTGGAATGGCCGACAGCAGTGGCTCCCCACTTGGAAACTAGAAGTGGACAATGGAGACAGCGCAGCTTTGCAAGTGGACTACATCAAAGTGTGGGCTATATAAACGACAGTCCTCTGCCGAGGAAGGACAACAGCAGGCATGCCATGGAGCAAAACAAGTGATTTTGGTTCCTACAGCTGTCAATAGACACATTAACTAAGGGTTTCATTAAATTCACTGTTCGAATCGTTCAATTACAGAGAAATTTAAAAGAAACAGATCAAACTCGAAACGTGTGGTCGAAACACTATCCTCCAACGAAGAGAATGCTAGGCAGTTACGAAGGCCCGCTCGCATGTACTGTGCAAGCTGGAGACATTATCAGCTGCTACAGGATCTGGGGTCCTCACAACAGTGGCAACGATGATTTCTATCTTGTGGTATGTAACGCCGTGTAGTCGTTGAAATTCAACAGATGTTTCGGAGGAACATATCGCCTCAATCTTCAAGACCGAATAATAAGCGAAACAAGAAAGCAGTGTGAGGCAGGCAGCAAGAAAAGCACTAGGCTCATCTATTTCGATATATTCCCACGTTTCCGTAAGCCACATGCTCTGCTGTTTCATGTCTATTATTTGCTTGCTTTCTCTACATCCCCTAAGCTGCCTCAGGAACGTTGACTTTCAACGGACTTCATGGCATTATATCCCAGAAGATACAGCCTTTCTTACAGTGTCTGTTGCTATATAGAACCTCAACGCGTATTAAATGAACGCAGCATCGTCAACATGTATTTCTTCTAACCACCACTTATCACCCCTTCTGTTTGTTAGAGGATAGTACAAGGAGAAACCTGAAGGCCAACCAAATTCCTACTTGAATAAGTTCTAAATATATTATCAATTTGCAAAGTGAAAACTGTCACCGAATTCCAGCAGTTTCTTGTTCGAACAAACTGGACGAAACTTGAAAACATCTGTGGTCCTCACGGCAGAGTCTTCCGGGGGAAAGAAACATGAGGTCAGATTTCACGGTGTCACACCCCAGAAGACATTACTTATCATGAACCACGACTTACTCGTACGTCATGTTTCTGGCCGCTTTAAAATATTTAGACTAATCTAAACTTGTGCATGTATTCTGTAAGTGCAATTTACGTAAGGGTAATAAATCATATATTAGTGATCAAATTAAGAGCAAAGTAATTCCATCATAAAGACCGTATCCTTTCTTCATATTATGGAGGATGGACTCCGTTAAAATTTCTGCAGGACAACGCTGAAACAAAACTTCATAAGAAATTCCTAACCTAAGCAATCTTTACATTCAACTGAATGTGTAGCAAGATAATAAATTTGGCAAACTAGCAACAGGCAGGCAGTCCCGTGCAGAAGCGGGATCGAATACCTCCCACGGGACTCGGACCGGAGAATGACTGCGCTGGTGAGGGCCAGCAGCAATTGTAAACGACAGACCAATCCTCTAGTCAGAGAGAGCGCCCCATGTCAACAAATCGGCAACTGCCTAACAGTAATAAAAATCTTGCCAATAGCCCCAGATTTAACCTAAGAGTGACTGGCCGACTGACATAAGACTCGGTCTCAGTCTGTCTCAGTCTCAGTCTCAGCAATAGGCACCGAGAGTGCTTCTGTCTATAGAAAATATGCTGAGCCTAAGTTTCTCCACAAAAGCAAGCTTCATTTAAGAAAGAAACTGGTAACTGGCCATCACAATGGACACTGTCTAGTTCACCATTAAGCAACAAATCTGCATTTCTTTCAGTCATAACCTGACCAGTTGCAGCAGGTGACGATTGAGTGATATATCCCTCAGATAACACAATAAACACCGACAGACTCTTTCAGCTCCGCGAATAGCAGTTACTTCTCAGTCACGACCATGCAGTGTAGTTTCACCCTTGTGTCAATATGCAGCTGCAAATTATTCCGAATGAACTCAAATGCAACAATGTGTAATTTTCGAAATAATTTCCATCCCTTCCGATGAATACACACGCCGTCAACAGAAGATATTTTTCCTTTGTTGGTAACTCTTAAAACAGCAATGCCCACGGAGGGTAGGCACCCCTCACAGCTGCCTGGCAATGCTGTTATGAAACAACGGAGCAGCAAGCTTAGGTTTCTATATACGATATAAAAAAGTAAAGCTATCCCATAGGGTTGTGAGACGTTGAGGGTCCCACACTATCTAGACAATCGGCTGAAAGCCTTACGCGCCGGCCGCGCTTTACTCCCCGGGAAAATTATGTAATTCCTGGTACTCATTCCTGTTAGAGGCTGAGTAAACCCCAGGGCCTAGTGCGGCTGGAAGGATTACGTCAACTGAAAAAAATCCAATGACCTCATCGGGACTTGAACCCGCGACCATCCGACTTGTGTCATAGCCCCTCAAACCATTGACTTTGGGAGTGCTTTGGGAGTGGGGCATCAGTACAGGATGGGGGTACTTTGAAGGAGATAAGGCTCATTCCGCTGCAGGCATGTCCGAAAATATATAAAAAATCAGTTCCGAAACTTTTCCACGTGTGACACATGATTATGGAAAGTCCATCGAAAATATATTACATTTCCAATTGTTCGCCTGCTCTCCTTTCTTAAGAACAAAGAGGGATCACTAGATCACAATCCTGGCTCTGTGTCCTACTGCGATACCTGAACCAGCCGACCGATTGGAGACCACGGCAACAATACTTGCGTCACTTCACTCCGGCTCTGTAATGATGTAAGGCAATGTAACTACGAAAAATATGAACTTATAAAAACGGTTGTATTTTTCAGAACGTAAAATAACAACATGGCAGCTGCCTGATTTTGTTAAGCTATTATTTCGACACGGGGGGGGGGCACGCGGTACCATAGTTTGTTGAGGCACTATAATACAAGCCGGAAGGTCACGGGTTCGATTCCCGATGAGACCACTGGATTTTTCAATTGACCCAATCTTTCCAGCCGCACTATGGCGCTGCGGTCAACTCAGCCTCTTAACAGAAATGAGTACCAGGAATAATCGTGGGGGTGGTGAAGGGTGGCCGGCGCGTAAGGCTGACAACTTCACCGCCATCTGTGAGCCGATATTCTAGAAAATGTGGGAAGCCTTGACGTCTCGCATCCCTATGGTCTTCCACGGCCTGTTACAGGGATAGCTTTACCTTTTTTGTGTGTTACAAGAGCAGAACAGCGCGTTTGTGGCGACATATTACAGTCACGTGGGCCACGAGTGATAACAGATCAGAAAAGCAGATGGCAATAAATAATCAGAAACATGGGAACACATCAGTGAGCAGATGGCGATGATTTGCGAAATGTCAAGGCAAAATGGAAGGGATGTAACTAATCAGAAGTAGAGCCAGCTCATACCAAGAACTCGCGCCCGAGAAGGAGAAAATGCGACGGATAAATACATGCGGGAGCAACCACGCGGAAACAAAACAACAGAACTGCGTACAGTGTAACGTGTTTCATATTTCTGCAAGAGAATGTTCTCGAACAATTTCATAGGGAACATCGGAACAAAACAAGGGGTACAACAATGTTAACAAGGGAGAGTAACAAATTGGCATCAATAGAGGCAACACCAACTGGCAGCGGTACTATCCAAGCAGACGTTTCTGCTAAACATACAGGGTGTCCCGCAATAGGATATCCATGGCTTAACTACTGGACTGCTGCTCTAGGGTCCGAGCCCGGGTCATGTCATGTCGGATTTGTGGTCAACACAGTGGCACTGGGGCACGTTTTCTCCGAGTACTTCAGTTTCCCCTGCCAATTCTTATTCCACCAAATGCTCCACAGTCATCTATCATCCGCGGCTGGTACAATAGGAAAATTAGTGGACTCAGTCTCACCCCAACCTCAACCAACCTGAAAATGTTACCTTAATTTAAAACTTCATGTGGTTAACGTAGCGTTTACTAAATGAAAGAAAAGCATTTCTAGTAAGCTGTAGATTTTAGAGAAATATTTACAGTATGTGCCAAAATAGAGTACTCAAATGAAAAGACGTCCTGTTGATACCACTGTCTATTCAAGTGAAGGCCCCTTGCACGACAGAACCTTCTCAAACCCTGAAGAAATGGTCCGATCGCCATGTCCCTGTAGCGTTCTTGGGTGACGGTAAGAGCATTGCCTTCCGCACCCTCAATGAAATAGGGGCCTAATATACCGTGTGCTGATGGGGCACACCATATCGTCACACGTGTACTATGTAGCGGTTTCTGGACGATAACATCTGGCCGCTCAAAACCAAGGAAGTGAGTTGTCTGGCGACCATTTCCATATGAGCGGAAATAATACTCAACTATGAATACTTTTTCCTCCGTCGAGCGACCCATTTCCAACAACAACTGCACAACACAACTTCCTTTTCACTACTGGGAACATGTGCGGCTGGTGCTATGCCCCGTCGACAAACGCACATGCGCGTTCGAGATGCGCGGGTTTCATTCAGTACTGGATTTTCGGTGGATACCGTACTTTGTGGATTGTCCTAAATAAAACACTTAGTTTGATGAACTGTCTTTAGAACGATCGGGTCCGAATTACGTTGCAACCAAAATTTTGGTTTCATCTGCCTGATATGAGAACCTATTAAATTTATCCTACATCTCCTGTTTTAGGTTTAATTGCTAAATACATCTTGAATTCATCCGACAGTTCCGGAGATGAATAATGGAGGACAAACAAACTTTGTTTAAATAACACATATTGTTAAATGAGTAATCAAAAATGCCAAGGTAATTCAGCGAATCTTATTCTTGGTTAAACTAATTTTCTTCGTGATTGTGTTTGCTCAATAAATACACACTTTCTCGCCCTGTTCATCTAGTCAGTTGGGGTTTACTTAATCCATTTCCAAATACTTATTCACATGTTGAATTTTGTCCTTAATTTTTTTTTGGAAATGTTAACATCATAAGGCCAGGCACGACACGTGTTTAAGAGTGTGCGTTGTGACAAATGCGCCATACGTGTGTGACACAATGAGTAGTAATGCCGGCAAACAAACGATAACTAAATATACATAAGTATATACGCAACACTCGGATACGGGAGTGAAGTGTGAGTCTGGCACAAGGGCGTCAGCCAGATGTTTCGAAGCACCGCACCGCTGCGACGGTTTGTGGGTTTGCACCACCAATAAATACAAATATACATGAACATGTCTGTGTTCGAACAAGCCTCCCCCTCGAATACAAGTAATGAGTGTGATCGTTACGCAAATCTGATTGGTTCAAATATATTACCATTTTAGCTCCGTATTACAAAACTACTCAGCAAAATGTGTATACTGGAACCTCAATAATTTGGCCAACTTGAATCCGAACTGATTTAGAGTACAACAGGTAAGAAAAGCTAAAGCTATCCCTGCAACAGGTGGTGGAGACCCATAGGGTTGTGAGACGTCGAGCCTCCAAAATTTTCTAGACAATCGGCTCACAGATGGCGGTGAGGTTGTCAGGCTTACGCGCTGTCCGCATCTTTAGCCCCAGGAACATATCTGGTACTCATTTCTGTTAGAGGCTGAGTCGACCCCAGGGCCATAGTGCGGCTGGAAGGATTAGGTCAGTTGAAAAATCCAGCGGCCTAACCTGTAAAGTGCACTGATGAAATAAAGAAATGCTCGGTAATGCGTTGAACAAAGCACCGACAAAAACTGAATAGGTGTACTTTCAAATCTACTACTACAGCTACAATACTACTACCACTACAACTACTACCATCTGTCAGTCGCAGTTATTAGTCTCATCTACTGATAGCGTCATTAAAGAAACAACAAATAAACGAATAAAATTGTCCAGAATTTTAGATGTCCGTTGGTCATACCTTGGCCAGGACATCCGCTATGCTGAGGATTCCACAAGTTTCATCAGTCCTGCCAGATAAAATGACGGGTTAGCGCAGAGATCCCCCATTAACCGACGTTAAGTGGTTTGCTATTCATTCTTCAATAAACCCAATTTTATATATTGTGGAGTATTTGCTCTATGCAGGAACTGTTGAGCCACAGAGGCCTCGGGGTACGCCCGCAACGGTAGAGTTGCGGATTGTATCAGCGCGTTGCTAGGTGAGAACTCTATGAACGCTTGGATTGCGCAACAGGAAGTGTGAGTGACGTCACATACTGCCATTCCCCCGTTGCTGCCCGACGTTCGGTAAACACGCTTGACAAT